TTTCTCTGTGGCTGCACCACAGAGATGAACAGAGAAATGAGGCCTAATTTGGGAAAGCTCAGAAACACTTAATTCTGCCTTATTAATAAGCCTCGCCGCTACACATTTGTTAGATAACAAGCAAATTCACAGAAAAGGTTAAAATATCACTATCACTTTTCACAAAGTATATAATCCTAATATGGTCAGAAGGAGCACATAAAAACGTTTCCCAAATAACAACATGTAAGACTTTGAAGCTTAAAATGTTTAGGGAGAAATGTAATACTGGTGTGTATTTTTTCTTTAAACTACCAAGACCAGCAATATACAGTACAGTTTACATACAGTAATATGTTTATGTTCCTAAATTAATATCGTTTATGAGCATGTGAAAGGCATGGTGAATCGGAGATTCTCAAGAATTACTTTGTATGATTGGAAAAAGAATGCGTGATCGGATCAATTAAATGCTGTGGTGTTACTTTTTGTGAATGAAAAAATAAACTCTTTTCGTTTACAAAGACGGTTACAAAGAATGTGGACCAGGGTTATACTTTGAGCTTACAGCTTGTCCAAGGTCATTCATTATTAATACTTTTAGTAATATCTTCGGTAAAGACTTTGATGCATAAAATATTCCTGCATAATTAAAATATTTATGATAAAGGTGGTAGGTTGTGTACTTTTGTCCAACTGAACAATCTTGCTTTTATAAAATATACCGCTTTTTTAATGTTTAATGATTAACATGCTGTAATACACTGTTTAAATTTAAAAGTCTAAAGAGTATACAACTTAAATTCTTAATTGAATAAAGATTGTCCCTCAGCTTGATCGGGTTTCAAAACCGACGTTTTCTGGTGACAGCTAAAATGCTGTACAGGAGAGGTTAACCTTTATTAGCTCCACCTGGCGGTTTTACAAGGTGATTCTGGATACTATTAACATAATCTAATTTGCATATGGTATAATGAGGTGTACTGCGACAGGCCCACCATGTTATACTGCAGCAGACACCGCTTGTTTTGAATGGCTGCATCTGTATCACCACTGATGATCTATTCATTAAATGTCTTTTTTCACTTTCAGGAGTTACAACTGTGCTTACGATGACAACACTGAGTATCAGTGCCCGCAATTCGCTCCCTAAGGTGGCCTACGCAACTGCTATGGATTGGTTCATCGCTGTGTGTTACGCTTTTGTCTTCTCTGCACTGATAGAGTTTGCAACAGTGAATTACTTTACAAAACGTGGATGGGCCTGGGATGGGAAAAGTATAGTGAATGACAAGGTAAAGTATTTGCAATTTGGAAATCTATGTGAATAATAAATTACTGCAGAATTTGTTAAAAAAATAATGGTACATGTATTGATATAGCTATAACAAGTCACTTAAACACATTATTCCTTCAAATGTATATTGCTAATACATTATATTTTATATAGAAACAAGTAAAGTTTAATTCCATGCTGAAAAGCATAAGAGGGAAACACAATTTCAGCTGTTGAGCCTTCTTCAGCTTCACAATCTTTTATATTTCATATATCTTCATATACTGAACTTCAAAATAAACCTATAATTCTATTTTTGCATCGCAGTTTTAGAATAAAAAAGGATAATATAGGATATTAACCTGCAACGACTAGCATCCCATTCAGGGTGTATCCTGCCTTGCACCAGTTGTTTACTGGGATAGGCTCCAGCTCCCTCAAGACCCTTTGAATAATTAAAAATTAATGGATGGATAAAATTAGGGATATTGATAAAATAAGTTAGTGTCATTTTGGTTAATTGATTATTAAAGACTGACTATGATACAATGTCAAGTGACATTGACTTGTAAAAGATCTATAAGACTGCCTCATTAGTGAGAGAGTAGAGGTGATTTGACTTGCTGCATGTTAGGTGAAACTCAAGAAAGACAAAACACAGAATGCAGCCAATATACACAACTCATCAAGAAAACTATTGGTATGTTGAAGGTCAGACTAAGTAGTACAGTATGTCACCGACTCCTCTTTAAATCATTATTCATTTATTTGTTGAATTTATCCAAAAGAATTTATGTTGTATCCATTTGTACAGCTAGGTATTTTATAGAAGCAGGTTAAATGATGTACCTTCAAGAAGGATACAACAGAAACATCCTGTCCGTAATTTGAATGCCAAACTTCCCAGTTATGATTCCAGAATCATTCCAACTACAACACAGCCACCACTTAATTTCCAAATGAATCTAGCTTTTTATGTAGATCACCCTACTTAATATCAATGAGTGTGGAGCAGACATGCAGAATGACATGCTAGTTGTTATTAACAGTAAACCAATCAATGATACAAATGTAATCTTCTGAGCTGAGCTGGACTATCTTGTTACTGCAGAACTTTACTTGTAATACTTGATGCCAACTACAGATCCTGAGACTTAATTTGCTGCTATTGCTGTGAGTTCACCCTCACTTGACGGCATGTGCTTTTATTCTGTTTGTCTAACTTTCTTAAAAGACTGGAAATTAGCATTTATTACCAGTAAATACACAGAGTCTTGTTCAGCCACTGCAAGAGGAATGAGACAGAATCAAACAGGACAACAGATTTATAACTGTATTGCTTTTAGGGGTGGACACACTATATGAGGCAATGTCTCCCCTGTTGATAAAAAAATGATAATAATCCTATAACCATTTCAATCAAATGTCAGTGCCTCTGCTACAAAAAAGATTCTGGCAATTTCTTAATAATAGTTTGTTGCAAGTATATTTTAGAGAAACATTTCCGCTTCTCCCTAAAAGATAAACAGGAGTCTGTCTCTGAAGTTTAAAGAAGTTTTTATTTCATGCACATGGGAGATGCTTGGGATATTTTTCTTAAAATGATTAAGCTAGAAGAGTCCTTAAATATGTTTCTGTCATATTTCATGTTTTCCTCTGCTTATCTGATTGACAGCATTCCAAGATCATGCTCATCTTCCTCTTGCCTGTTTGCCAAAGATAACTTATTTTAATTTTAATACAATTGGTTGCTTAATTTCTTAACATGGGTACCTATATAACACAGTACAGAATTAAATAGCAGCCCTTGTGTCCAATATTCTTACATTCCAGTTCAAACAGTTCTGTATGTCCACCTTATAAAGTACTGTAGCGTCAGCAGAAAAAGTTCACAAAGACCCTCTCAACAATAGGTGAAGATTTCATTTAATCCTTAGCATGTTTACTTGTTTTGCATGTTTTACATGAAAAGTGCTATAAAATAAAGATTAGTTTACTCATATAAGACTTCCCATACTTTTTGGTTACATCTAGGTACAATGCACCCTTTCTTTGAAATTATTTGCATTTCTACAGACCCTGAAGATTAGCAGTACTATATTATATTGCAATGCTTTTATGTCTAATTGAAGCTTAAAAGTTACATTATGCACAAGCCAGAATAAAAGGAAAATACATAAAAAGAAGAGAACTGTGGCTGGAAATCAAGGGAAACTATGAAGCAGAAGTGACATGACTGTATTTCTAAGATAATTCTAGAGCAACTTTAATAAGAAAATAAATGACATTTATATTGAATGGCACTCACCTCAAATAGCCCACTTTCAGATTTTCATATATTTATACCCTGTCCATTTTGTTTAGTGATTGGACAGTTTATCAAACTTTTCTGCAAAATGATTAAGTCTATTAGGCAGTCCTTTCAGTTTTACAGATTGTTTCCATATGGATGAAGTAGTAGGTGTAGGGACAATAATTGTAAATGGTGTATAGCTCTGTTTTCATTATTTAGTTCAGATTAATCATAAACCCTTGAGATTTGCTAGTATTACTATAAAATGTAAATGAAAACAGCATGAATTTCAACAAAGATTCTAAGGGATAGAAAATGTAAATTACCTCATCCCTGAAAAAGTCTGGTCTATTTTCAAATTTGTTTTCTAGGTCTCAAAAGAGATGACACAAGAGGGAAAGATCTACTTTGTCTGAAAGAAAGGATCTCTTAAAATACATGCACACCCAATTATTTTACAAACTATTTTTTTTACTACAACTTGGACTGTTCATCCAGTAAATTGTGTTGCGGTATCTCATTTCAGGAATTTTCCCCTTATTAAAATGCAAATTTCCTATTTCTCAACTGTATATCCTACAGTGATTGCTAGCCACTTACTGTGCAATTTCTGTGACTAGTATAGGATAACTGCTAAAATGTTACTATTTTCTATATAATTTCAGTAAAACATGGCACCACAAAGGTCTCTTGAGTAGCTCATCTGTTAAATGCACTTGTGAAAAATGCAGACTGAGCCCTGCAGTCAGCAACATACAGATGCAGTAATTTAAAATGTGAAAGATGTGGTAGATCATGGTATCACTGACAGCAGTGTCATGGCTTTTTAAGAAAAAAAAACAATGTGCTTGTTAGACATGTCATGAGTTAGGCAGGGACCTCTCATTGTTTTTTATTTTTGATTTTCTTTAAAAAACAATTAAAATCAGCTCCCCACTTTCACCTTGCCATTACTATAGTGGAGATGTAGCATATCTGGGGGCTTGTTCAAGATCTGTTTTGTGGAGCTAATATTTGTTCCTCGGTTTACACATGCTGCACTTGGGGTGTTGTTGTGTGAACAGTGCAGTATGTGTGAAATATTTTTCTTAATCAAAATTTAAAGTTAAATTTCTCATTGCTGAAATTTGTATTAAGACAAAATAGAGATTTTCTTAAAAAGAATGTAAAACTGAAAGAGGCACATTACGTTTGCAACAAGCTATAATAACAAAATATTTTACACATCCTACAATATGTAAAAAAATCTAGCCAAGACTATCACTTTAAAGGTTAATTCCAAGCTGAAAAGACAAGACTCAACGTGTCTGCTCTATACCTCTTTAGTTTACAGCTCGGCCATGATCCCTTATTATTAATATTATTAATAATTTATCAATCAATCAAGGTTTATTTATCAATGCACGAACAGAACAGCATACAGCGGTGTTGTCGGCAATTAAATGCTTTATCCGCGAGCCAGTTAGGAGGGATAAAATAATAGTAGGACAGAAATTTATAGGGATTAGGTTAAGATTACAATACAATAAATTATACAATTGCTATTTACAATACAATCACAGATTGTGCGAAAGTAATACAAGGATAGTAGGTATTTAGCAATGTTCATATGTGTCCTGAGAGTGCAAGATGATAGGAGGGCGCTGGTGCACCCTATCAGTTCAAGTAGGTTGCCTATTCACCGGTGGCCTTTTGGGTAATTGCAAGTGTCTGCTGTGGTAGGCTGTTTAGCTGTCTTATTGCCTGGGGGAAGAAGCTGTCATGAAACCTTTTGGTCTTGGTCTGTATACTTCGGTAACCACACCAAGTTATGGTATGTTCACTGAAACCACAACAAGTTGTGGTTAGGGTGACAGGGGTCCCTGAGGATAGACTTGGCCTTCTTGAGGCATCTAACAGAGTAGATATAATCGATGTCTGGTAGTACAGTTTGTGTTTTGAACCAGTTTCACCACCCTCTTGAGTACCTTGTACTCTCGGACGGAGCAGTTAACATACCAGGCAGTGACATAGCTGTTTAGGATGCTTTCAGTGGTGCAAGTGTAGATGTTGGAAAGGATGTGTGACAGTATGCTGAACTTATGTAGTCTGCGGAGAAAGAATAGGTGCTGCCGTGCAGTCTTGGCTACGAGGTTGGTGTGGTGGGTTCAGGTAAGATTGTCTGTGATATTGACACCTAGGAATTTGAAACTGTTGACTCTTTCCACTGCGGACCCACTGATGTGAATGGGTGTATGGTCTGTTCCTCGATGCTTCCTGTAGTCCACGATCAACACCTTAGTACTGCTGGTGTTCAGAGAAAGGTTGTTGTTCTGGCACTATGCTGTCAGCATTTCAACCTCCTCCCTGTACTCAGACTCATAACCGTTCATGATCAAGCCAATGATCATTGTATCGCCTGCAAGAATTTGTTTTGTTCCTGGTGACGCAGTTGTGGGTGAATAAGGAGTAGAGGAGGGGGCTGAGCACACTGCCTTGGAGAGCACTGATGTTCAGACTCAGGGTGGAGGATTAACTTATGCCTACTCTCAGCACCTGCAGTTGGCCCGTCAGAAAGTCAAGGATCCAATTGCAGAGAGGGGAGCTTAGTCCTAAGTCCTGGAGCTTGGTGATAAGCCTTGAGGGTACGATGGTGTTGAATGCTGAGCTGTAATCAACAAACAGCATTCTCACATACGTTCCTTTCTTATCTAGGTGTGAAAGGGTAGTGTGTAGAGCAGTGGTGA